GGACTTTGCTTTAAGAAAATGACTTCAGCGTTACTGAGAAAGGTTACTCCCATATCAGGATATAATTTTATTTGATGACTGTAATCTGATGTGCAAGTTTATGATCACCCTCTTGTTTGGGGTTTAGAATTACAAATAGAGTTCAGCAATACTACACAGATTTTTGTTCCCAGTGCATTGTGTTTCAAGATAATAGTTGAAAGGTAAGTGTGTAACTTTCAAGGAATCTTCAAGGAGAAGATTCACGATTCCTTGAAGATTCTTTGAAGGTTACACACTTACTAGAGAGGAAGAATCTTATGGTGGCTGAGCCCTCAGCCTCCAGGGCCAGAATGTGTGGACTCCGAGTCTGGCTTCTCTTCCTGCTAGCCGTTTGACTCTGAGAAAGTTACTTGACTTCTCTATACCTCAGTTTCCTTATCTACAGAACCATAATCATAATGGCAACTACTGCTAGGGTCTTTGAGAAGATAAATGTGTTAGTATGTACAAAGCACAGAGAAAAGTAGTAAATGTTATCTAGGTATTAGTTACTATAACTATTGGATATAAGTATTTATATTTTAATTCTGAATTTTTATCAAGAATACAATGCACACCTCTAATCCATCTGCTATATATAGCTTATTTTTCCAAATACCAAGTTTGAGACCAAGTACTAATTGATTTTAAAAAAAGGATTAGAACTTTCGGACCGTCAAGTTAAAGACGAAATACATGAAAGTACTTTATATTAGCAAGTATCTGCTTGAGACTTTCCCATTCTTCTTTAAATCACTCACGGCAGGATTTGTTTTCTTCTCTTGGGTCACTTTTTCTGCGTAAGCAAAGCCTTTGAATTGAAGATCTATTGCTAGCACTAGAAAGATCTAGCGAAAAGCTGCGGTGGGGAGAAGGAGCCTAGTGCCCCATGTGCAAGCAGGGAAGTAGTGCAGATTGGTTTGGCTTGTTGATAAAATTTTAGATGCTATATAGGGTTCATTGAGTCTCTGTTTCTGAAGGTGCTTTTTGATTAGTTGGAGACACAAAAGTTAATATGATGAAGTAGCATTTTTCTTTGTGAATCCTGTGATAATTTATGAATTTCATATCATATATAAAAGCGTTTTAATCAACTTTTAGTTGAATAAATCTAGCTTGCTTTATTTCTAATTTGTAAAATTCTCCACAATGGAGAACGAAGAAAGTTTGGCTAGGATTTCAGCTCGGGAAGGTAAAACTTCATCTTGAGTGCTGGGAAGGCAAGGGGATCCCGCAGAATATTATCTGGGTAGACAGATCTGAATAGACGTAACTATGAGTCAAGCTCAGGAAAACCAGACACTAACGCAGCAGACCCAAAGGAAGGAACTGAGTCCATTAGGAACAAAGGTACTTATTTCAAATTGTTTTGAATAATTAATATTGGGGTAACCTCAGCTTAATTTTACAGTAAAATAAAGATGCATTCATTGTCAGGGTGAACCGATCAAAAATACAGGGTGAAGTGAAAGTCAACTTTTATATTCCTCAAGGCCTACGTTATTCTTTCTTCATTTTGGCCGTTTCACTCTTAAGAGGACAGCAGTAAGAGAAGCTGGAGAGCAGAGAGGCAAAGCAACTGTGTCCGTCACCAGCAATTGCGGTCTTATTATCTGTGATATCTTCGTCTTATTAACATGGATAATTGAAATTTGATTTTCCTCAACCAGTTTTATATATTTTTTGAAATATAAAAAATCTTAGTATACGTCACCTACTTTCAGTTGTTCTTCTTTACTGAGTTTACTGCTCTCAGCATTCTGACAAGCTCCAAAAATAATGACCTGTGTTGTGTTTTGTTAAATGTTCAGTCAGACAGACAGATACAGATGGATGAGTGCTGTGTTGCACAAAGACAAGTCAGCATTATTTAATCAATGTTTGTTTGATCCATGTAAAACGAGTATAAATGTAAGCTGCATCCCATCTGTTTTATCATCCCTGTGAAGCCAGCCTCATTTTTAAAACTTGATTTCTTATGTAATTGCCCCAGAATGACACAAGATGATAAGTTGGGAAGAAATACCATTTGGACTGGTGAGATAAAGGATAGTGATGTGTAGGTGTGTTTCATAAGTTGGGCTTTTTCCTTTTGCAGTGGCATTCTGGATAGTTAAGTAGCATCATGGCTTAGTCATTACCGGCTGTTAATTATCAGCTGAGCTTTGGAATCACACAGACCTGGGTTTAAGGGTAACTGTATGAGTCTAGCCATGTGAGCTTAGCCAAATTACTTAAATACCAAGTAGCACCGAGCCTGTCATGAAGAAGGCCCTCTGTAAGAATAACTAATCTTTCTTTACTTCAATTTTCTCACCTGCCAAATGGAAAAAACAATACCTACCTCATAACAATTGTGAAAATCAAGCATAATTCTTCATATAAAGCATAATGACCTAGCACTTATTATTGTAATGGTCCTGTTATTTGTTGGTCTTCATCTCATGGGCCACACTTTAAACCAAAGCATATTATCTAACATATGGGGCACACAACTCATGTTTCTATTACTTTTTAAAGTCTTCAATGTAGGTGTGAAATAAGTCCTACAGAAGGCTGAAAACGTGGCAGGAGTGGAAATGGACATGAATTAACAGTGTATTTCAGTTAATAGATGCGATTTCATTATTATAAGTAAATGCATGCCATCTTACACATCTGTGGGTGATCTTGGTGTAAGTAAAACAAGGATATAAGAGGGAGTAATATCTTCTACCAAAAGCACTGTACATATATCAGTGAGCTTAGTAGCTTCTTGGGATGTTTAAATGATGTGTTGTATGTATCCAATAATGTTCATCAGTACAAAATGGAATACCAGTGGTAGTTATGATTTCATGGTCACATACTTAATCACTAAGCCATATGATAATAGATGTTAAGTATTATAATTTTGGATTCTATACAATAAAGTTTCCATAATTTGTTCTCTAACTCCCATGTTATACAGAGGAATTACTCTGTGATTTCTCTTTATAAACTTTTCTCAAAAATATTTATTCATCAATCCTATTCATTTGCTTAAATAACACCTGTTGAACCATTTACTGAGCCACGTATAGTATAGATGCAAAGATGAAGAAAGCTGCATAGGTAGGAATTTAGAATTTAGGCTGTAGGTCACAGGGACAGTGGAAGTTATTAAACAGGGAGCTAACCTGTCCAGAGCTATATTTTAGAAAGACAACTTTGGCAGCACTATGAAGAGTGGATTGGAATAAGAGAGTAGAGAAGGGATTTCAATCAGACAGCAGATACCAATGTTCTGGATGTAGGAAGTAGCAATGAGATTGCAAATTTGAGAGGTTTTTAAGGCAGGCCTTTGCCACTGACTGGAACTGCTCTGTGTGGACATGGTTCAAGGTTGACTTGAAGTCTTCCATCAGGGCATCTGAACGCTTCAGTACCTTTGGCTCATAGGATGCTTGGCGAGAATTAAATTCTGCAAGGGAGATGAAAAATTTCCCTGGAAGAGCTAACTAGAAAGCCCTTTAATTATATTATTTTTCAGACTCTAAGGTATGGATAATTATTAATATTTTTCTGAATACTGTTCAGTGACTATTTTGTATGTAGGTTAACAGGCTAAGAAAGGAAAACCGTTTAATAATCTTTATTAAATTTAGAGGCTGAAATCTATACTGCTGAGAATTTTACAATGTTTGGAGGCTATTCAACACTACTAACAGACTTGACTCTTTACACGTGTGAGTTTTACTGTTACGCTGAATTCTCTGCCTTTTGACAGAAAGTGTGCATATCTTTAATATTTCGATAGCTGATGGATATGTTTTACTCTCAACTTCTTCATACATACATAAGGGCACTGAAAATATCCAACATCAAAAATAACTACTAAACATTCTTTTAACATAATACAGTATCTTTACTTTAAAAAAAAAATTTACCTGGGTATAAACCTGTTTTATCATCATTCTTGAAATCCTGATTTTGATTATTTGAAATTATGTCTGTATAATTAATGAACTTGTGTTTCCATATATCAATGAAATTATAAATCTTAAAAGGTATCAGTATCCTATGATGAAAGAAAAAGTATTTTGATTTCCATAACGTTTCAGGAAATTTGAGTCCTCTAGAGTTATGTGATCAAACCTGAATTTAGTCTTGAAATAACGGTTCTACTTAAATATTTTTAAAAATTACATACTTTATATCTGTGAGATATTTATTTTAGATTGTTGAATAAGTTTGGTTGAACTTCACCATCAAAGAAAGACATAAAATCAGAAAAAGAACTAATATTTATAAAAAGCAAATTATAAACATCATAACACATAATGATAAATAGAAAAGATATAATCATAAATAGAAAAACAATTTGTACTGAATTACATGTTATTAATCTCAGATGAGTATTAAATTTAACTGACCTCCCTTCTTTACTGTGTGTATTAACTGTTTGAATCGTACAGTTTGCCTTGTAATATTGGTTGTTACGGAGAAACAGACAAAACCTTAAGTAGCCATTAAGTTGTGAGCATGTAGGTAAAGAATGAACAGTAAAGCCTGTGTCCATTGAAGCCAGTGAAAGACCAGTCAACTTAAAGACTCAGCTTAGCTCCAGACAGGAAAGAACAGGGAAGAATGATCAATATAAAATAAGGTTCACAGAACCGGAAGGACTATTGAACCAAGATAACTTGTAAACTACAGCAGGAGAGAGGGAAGTGGAAAAGTAAAAAATAAGAACCTGCCTTTGCAATGGTAACGGAACATCTGTATTGATTTCCTTTTTCATTTGAATCAATGTTGGTGACTATCACTGTTTCTGCTACGATTAATCATTTTTTGTTACGCTGGTTATATTAGTGTTCAGCTTCACAGTTAGGATCATCTTGATGAAGTATGGCTTCAGAATTTTCCTTTTAAATCATGTTTATTACTTGTGATAAATGCCTATAATCTGGTGTTTTTCAGTATTGATTTTGTTTGTCTGTGTTGTTTTTCTTTTAAAGTCAATTGACCCTGGCCAGCAGTTCACATGGGAGCATTCAAACTTGGAAGTAAACAAACCAAAGAATAGATATGCGAATGTGATCGCATATGATCATTCCCGGGTTCTCCTATCAGCTATAGAAGGTAAGGAAATGCAGACATTACTGATACCTTTCTTTTTATGGATTTGAGTGTGTGCACTGAGAATACTGTTTTAGTGAAGTTATTAACCATCTATGAAAAGAATTAGAATGGCCATGCCTGGTGGCTCACGCCTGTAATTCCTGCTCTTTGGGAGGCCGAGGCCAGTGGATCTCCTGAGGTCAGGAGATCGAGACTAGCCTGGCCAACATAGTGAAACCCTGTCTCTACTAAAAACACAAAAATTAGCCAGACATGGTGGTGGTTGCCTGTAATCCCAGCTATTCAGGAGGCTGAGGCAGGAGAATTGCTCAAACCCAGGAAGTGGAGTTTGCAGTGAACCGAGATCACGTCACTGTACTCCAGCCCCAGCCTGGTGACCGAGTGACACTCCATCTCAAAAAAAAAAAAAAAAAAAAAAAGTAATTAAAATTCAAAGATAGTTTTTTCCTACTTTTTCTTTCTCACACAAATATATTATACATACACACATAATAGCCGTGACACCATGTGACAGAAATGTGGATCTCTCATTACCTTCTTGCCTTTACCCTAGATTAAAGATTTGATAATGTAGTTGATGTTTAATATGGGAAGCAAATTGAGGTTGCCCGTTTTACTGATGGTTGTTGGTTGTTATGAATGGACAGGTGATTGTCAGAAGAGGCCCATAAACTAAATGGTTGTTTGTTTGTAAATAAATCTGGATATCCACTGGGGACTGTGTAAAAGTTCAGAGTTGGTAATGTGGTAATTAATATAAATTAAGTAGATTGGAAATGTCTAATTTGTCTAATTTGTGGACTGGTTGGTAATCTGTCTCTTAGAATTGCAATAAGGAGTATGTTCCAGAGGGAACAGCTTTTCCTAAAAGATGAGGGTTACTCCTCATATCTATCCAGCTTCATTAAAAATTCACAAAGCGGGTAGTTTCCATTCACCTGTTTCCAGTGATAAATCCCATTCGCATGGCATATGAAAGCAACTAGAAGTTCACGTTCAACACACAATATTTTATTAGTTTTTCTGGCTATAGTAGCACATTGGATTGAAAAGTCCTTAGAAAATAGTTGAGGAGGCCACTTAAATCTTCCCCTGTGTTTCAGCAGCCAACCTGGGTCACCCGTGTCACATACCAAGTTCACCCTCATTGGTGCCCAGAAGAGTTTTATGGCCTCTTCATACTTGAAGCTTCACTGTTGACATTCTTGAAGATGTGTTATGAAACAAATTATACTAGCTTCAGACCCAATTCTGTTAGGGACTTTACAGTTGAAACATGTTTATCTGTAGTTATTCGAATACCTGTCCCTTTTTTCTGCTTCCGAAATCTCTGATGACCACTGCTTTATTTTGTAAATCTGACCACATCTCCTACCTGCTTCCTCAGTGTCCAAAATTTATTTGAAAGTGAAACTGCTTAAAAGCTTTCTCAGTAAGCACCATAGGCTATTAATACCTTTGTTTCCAGTTTTTTGGGAAGAAAAACTATCTTTCAGCATTTGAACAGTCCTATACCTATGGCCCTCCCTACCTCAATGTGGCATTGTTTCACATAGATATATTTAGTAAAATTCTCATAATAAATCTACTTTGGATGGTGGAAAATACTACAATCCCTTTTTTAGGCACCCAAAGATACTAGGTGTTCAAGAGTTAGCCTCTTTCCACACTGAAAACAATGATTTAAATTTGTTGACATTTTACCAATACTAGATCAGGCATAATAATGTCAAGTGAGTAATTGCTTATTTTCAAATTCTGTTTAAAAACTGTAATTAATATTTGCGGATGATTACCTTACATTTATATGTTTTCCATTTTAAAGTGTGAAAATAATAGGATTTTTTTTTTTTTTTTGGTCTCAAGTCTCTTAAATCATGCCCATAATAAATAAAAAAGTAAACTGAGCCACAAATAGCAGAGAGAAATCTTTTTTCCATTAGCCAAAGCAAGGCAAATTATAGAAATAAATGAATGTAAGTTGAGAATCTATTTGACATGATCTTGCCTGGAGAAGTTGTCAGTCTGCCTTTGCTGTATTGTAGCATTGTTTCCACCAAGAATTAGGTCTTTCAATAACTACACTTCCCTGTACTTTTGCTCACTTTGTCATTATTTTTCTTAACCTGTTATTTTCCACATCTTAACAGTAAAGTATGGTGAGGGATAAAAAAAATATACCTCCTGGTATATTGATTATGATGGTTAGAAACTATGCACACTTCATTCCTATGCTGGTTTTATAGTGTAAAAGCAGAAGCACTTGAATCACACCAAAACCTGCCTTATTATAGCTCCGTGTTCACAAATATACCCTAAATCTAGAGCTGACCTAAAAACCAAATGCCTTTCAGTGTTGTGTTATGCAAAAGGTTAGAAGTATTTAATTGAAGTTTATGAGCTATAGAGAGCTTTAATCTAAATTACAACCATGAACAGCATTTTATCTTAAACTAAGCCCTAACCAGCAGGTATTCAGGAGGGCAGTCAATCATCCTGTATCTTAAACACAGAAGAGAAAATACTGGCAACTGGAACCACAGAGCCACTAATTGAGACTTCTTCTCTAAAGACAGCTTTGATAATATAGGGCCAGCTTTTAGTATATTGAAATATTAAGTGACTTCATGTACAATTTATACAACGTAATGTGCTTGTTTTGCGTTCCAACCAGTGTTACTAACTTCAGTGGCTTTGGCCTAGAGTTTTAATTTGGGAGTTTTTGTTCTATTCTCTCAGTGGTGCTAGTCACTCCTTAGATTATTTTGCAAAGTGATCTGATAGACATTAGAACAACAACAACAGAAACCAAAGTGGCCACAGTGATTGATATTGTTTTTATATTTGTTTAATAGAGCAAGTGTGTACCCTCCTTCCGCTGAAAATAACGGGGAAAAATTAAAAGAATCAGGAATTGTGTGTGGGCACTAATGTGCTTATTGAACTTTTTGAAAACAGTGACACTTGGTGACATCTTACCAAATCACAGTCATTTTATTTAGGCTAGGAAAAATGCAGAATAAATTCAAAAGAGTCCTAATTACAAAGTGGTTTCAATTGTTTAATTATAGGGTAAGCAGTATCGAAACAGAATTGAATTTTCGAACAATGCAATTACCATTGGCATCCCATCTATGTTTAAGCAGTTCTTAAGAGAAAATAGTAATTCCTGAAGAAGAGGGCAATAGGATTTATTTTAATGAGTTAAGATAAATATATTCTACCAAAAACTAGCTGGTATGATGTTATGTGCTTATCATTCCAGCTACTCAGGAGGCTGAGGTGGGACGATTGCTTGAGCCTGGGAGGTGGAGGTTACAGTAAACTGAGATCACTCTACTACACTCTAGCCTAGGCGACAGAGCCAGACCCCATCTGAAAGAAACAATAAATATTTTCAAATAAAGACTAAATGGAGGCTAATACTTTAAAGTGTGTAAACAGGATATGTTGTATTATGCTTACACTTGTAGAATCCACAGTTGTTCAGAAAGTATATTTTTATTAAAATAAGAAAAGAAAATGGACAAACCAAAAGATGAAGAACAAGGAAATCTGAGCTTGGGTCACTAACTAGCTAGGTCACCTTGACTCTGAGCATTAGTTTTCTCTGTGGTAATCTCTTTCATTTCTGACTTGTAAGAGTTATCTCTATCATTTGTTTTATTTGCTGTACACAGCAGGCTAATGAAGCAGCAGTATAATTATTTTACTAAATATATAGGTATTCACATTTATAGATGAGAAAGCTGAAGCTCAGACAGGATTAGCCCAGAGTCACACAGCATATAAATTATATAACTCTCTAGAATCCAGCTCTTTTGATTTCTGGTCTGGGGCTTCATTTGCCCACATCACTAATAATACTTTCCTACTGATGCAGGATGTGAGAGTGTCTTAAGTTACTTACCATGGATTGAAAAGCCCAATCTTATCTTTCTGCCTAAAAATCTGTTTTATCTTTTGGCATTAGCCTATGGATAACATAAATAGATTTTAGAACTTCATTTCCTATTTCCTATTTCATTTCCTATTTTATGGCATGGCTAACCTGAGGCAGGGACACCGTATGGGGAATCATCAAATCCATCATTCAAATAGATCAGAGTCATAGATTGCAGAACAAACGTCAAGTGGATGTATACCCAATGATAATACAGGTGATCTGCTTACCTCAAATATTGTTTTATGTATCTTTAATTTCTTATTAGCCAAGGAATATCAATTAGTGGGAGGTTATTTATTATAATGCCTTGTAATTAGCAAAAATTAATTATTGCAGTCCTGGATAAAAAAGAGGTGGTTGTTCTAAAGTATAATTAATCTTCACTGCTGCCAGTACTATGTTTTCATTAGTAGGATTATAATTAACATTTTGTTTTAAAAGCCACATTGGCATGGATTTGTAGAAAAGTGTTAGCCAAGTCCAAATATAAAGCAAAATTAAAATGCTATTTTTCAATTCTGCAACAAAGATAAGACATTATAATAGATATGATTATCTGGTTATCTATCACGTGCCGAGCACCACATTATGGAGGCCCAACCCCCAAAGCTAGTAGTCATGCTCTAAATTTACAGATGAGGAAACCAAAGCATTTTAAAAGTCAACAAACTTATGTATGATCCATAACTAATAAGTGACAAAGTTGAAATACTAATACATGTCACTGTTAAGGCAGCTGTTCTTCCCATTAGTCCGCGCAGGCCCAGAGCCGTTTTTGAAGTCCTCATAGCCCTGCCTATGTACATCAAACCTAATTCAAAAGCGATGCCGTTTTGGCTGGGAAGATTGTCTAAGAATTTTGAAATATACATTTGAAACACTTATGTTAGAAATCTTAGAACTAGAGGTCTTCAGTTGTGTTCTTAGACTCCAGTCAGAATGAATTTTTCCAAAGAATAAATGACACAGAAATGATTTTCAGGTTTGTTTCTTTGTTTGTGTAATCTCATTTTTTAAGGTATATGGGGAAGAATACTGAATAAACACACAGAAA